CTCAAAATTAAGTCTCCCAGTAGGCATCCAAATCAGATGTCTGAACCACCTCAACAGGCTTCTTTTCAGAATCAGAAAAAACTTTGTTAATCCACGAGGGGCCATTAGGTGGGCAAAAAGCGACACATTAAAAATGAGCAAGAGCAAGAAAAACAACACACAAAGAAACACACAAAAGGTGGGCAGGCGAAAGCAGCAGATTATGTGGAGTGGCAGGCCTGCTGCCAGTAACAGTATGAGTGTTGCTGCGGAGGTAGTAAGGCAGGAGTGTCCGAATATGAGTCAGAGATGTCAGCAGCAGATTATGTCCCAGGTGTGTGGGAGGTCCCTGGGAACCTGGAATTCCATCCTGGACCGGGCACGAACGGGCAAACACAAACCCCAATTATCCTGAGATAACGAGAAAATTAACTCGTTATCTCGAGAAAACGGCGAAGAAAGAACAGTAGCGGAAAACGACCGCTCTCGGCTTCCGTAGCTACTAGCAGTATGACTAATAATAATAATAATAATAATAATAATAATAATAATGATGATAATACATTAAAAAAGTACAAGTACATTAAAAAGCAGCAGTTTGAACAGCAGAATGTACAGAATGGTAATATTGCACACAAACAATATTGCAGAAGCTTAAGGTTATTGTCGCCCCGTAGAGTTCAGGAGGAGAACAACACTGGGGACAAAGGTCGCCGTCCTTCTCTGGGTCTTACAAGCTGGACCACAGAACCTGTGACCAGATGGCAGCCACTCAAATGCGGAGAACAGAGCGTGTGTTGAGCAGCCACTCTAGTCTGAGCTCCCTCTGGATCGTCAACCTTCTCGCCCTACATCTAAGGCTGAGCCCAGCCACCCTACAGAGGAACTCATTTTGGCTGCTTGTATCCGCGACCTTGTTCTTTCAGTCACTACCCAGAGCTCCCCACAACAGTCCGGGACAATGCCCGCATTACTGCTGATGCTGTACCATCATTCATAAACAAGATCCCGAGATACTTAAACTCCTTCGCTTGGGGAAACATCTGCCGCCCAATCTGGAGAGAGCAATCCATCAGTTTCCAGCAGAGAACCGTGGTCTCAGACTTGAATCCCAGCCACTTCAAACTCGGCTGCAAACC